AATGAGGGTAATAAGCTTTGAGGTAATATAACATTACCAGGTAATCTCATAACTTGAACCCCAAACAAGGTAATATAATATTACCAGATTCAGATTACCTAGGTAATCTAAGATTTTACCTGAACCAAACTGATTTGGCACATTTAAAGAGTGTTTAGTTGAATTGATTATCTATATTTCTTTAGCAATCAAAACCCAAGACTCCATTAAATACAAGCATCCGCAGTGTAAACTAGTGCCTCTTCCTCACTTATCTAACAATTGCACATTCACCTAAATATACTTATATCCTATATGATCGTTCAAGAGTTTACTTCCTAACAATCTTTTTATAAGTATGGTGAAACCTCTGCACTATGCAATTGGTGGGGAATCGAAAAACATGTATTTAGAATAGAATGAATTGCCAATAATTGGACTAATAGCTAGAGGGAGGCTAAGGTTTGGAGTTTGAGGCTAAGGATTCAAGTGGATGAGAAGTCATTCTAAGGTTTGGCTTCTCACACACTTTGTCAATGGTTTAGTTGTTTAAACTTGACTCTGCCATTTCAGTCAAAGTCCATGGTTATACTGGGGCAACATTAAATCAGTTAAAGTTGATGCTCTGACTCTCTTTCCCTCAATACATCACCTTAGTTTTCATATCTATGTGTGTTAAAAAAAATATATATATATATATATATATATATATATATATATTTATTTATTTATTTATTTGTATACTGTTTTCTTTCACTCAATGCCTTAAACCATCACTTTTTTTCCCATACTGATAATCTATTTTCTAGGATATAATTTGGCATGCATTAAAGGAGAAATGCTCAGCTAAAATGTTCCAGCGCACTGCTTCATCAAGCTCTAATTCTGGTATGAATATTATTTCTATATTTTTGTTTGATATATGGGTACTAAATGATATTATTTTTTTCATGCAAAAGTTTGATATAAATGCCTCAGGATTTTTCTACTCTTTCCTTGTCTTTTAGAACATGCCTACTGTATCACAAAATTACTTTTGCCTGCTAAATTGAAGTTATCATCTATGTTTGTTTTGTGTGTGTGTTAGTATATAATACTTGAGGGCTTGAAGTTCAGCCTCTCTTATTCTTACTATTAGCACCACACTCTAAATCAATAGAAAGCCAATAGCAAACATATCAATATTCCTACTACTAAATATATTTCTATTTCCCCTCCAGGGCAAGCTTTGGCTATTTTCAGAACAAGGGAAGTAGCAGAGAGGGTTATCAAAAGGTTAAAGAACAGATGCTTAATGGTGTCTAATGAAAGGTTTGGTTTTGCATATACTTAATTCTTGTTTCTGATCATCAGGAATGCATGCTACTCGGTGATTGATTGGCTAGATATTGTAATGCCAAAATCCTGTAAATAGTTCTTTATTGAACTCTTCAGCTTTTTGGGCGCATGTTGAACTCAACTCTACAAAATTAACCTTATCAAAATATACTTTTCTAAGTCCATTTAATATTATTAATCCTTGTACACCATTGTGGGACAAAAGTCATAGTACCTTCTCGCCATTTATTTCCTCTGCATTATGGCCCTTTTTGAAAATTTAAGGGATTGCAAAATTGGAGAAGATGGTAATAGATGTAGTCATAGTTGTGAATAGATATAGATAGCAGGGATAATGGTCGTGATGGGGAGATAGGTAAGTAGAGAGTGGTGATGGTGGGGTAGGGGTAGATATGGTGAAGTTGAAGTTCATAAGTAATGACAATGGTGACTATGGATGATGTTATGTGTGTTGTATTTGGAAATTTGAAAGAAAAAAAAGTAAAAGTGTTTCCCAAATTCCTTTGTTATGTTTGAAAAATGACAAACTGTTTTGGAAAACAATGCTAAAAAAACACATTTTGTGTTGGCTATCCGGACTAATAAAACACATTTCCGTGTGGCCATCGGATCAGTGATTGGTGTGGTGTTCTTCTTCATATGCTTGGTCTGCAGACTCTTTTACAATCACTTGGTAATGGTGAGAGTATTTTAAAAACTCAGTATGTGGTTTCGATGCTGATCAACTTATGTTCACCATGCTACCTTTCCCCACTATTGCACAGAATTTCTATTTTAATGTGCTCAAATACAAACCTGTATTGGAGTGAGTAATATTGCATTTTTATTATTATACCATCATCTTATGCAAAGCATGAAATTTGTAACTTATGCTTGCAGGCCACTTGTTGCTGACATTGTAGCACTTCCCAAATCCCAAAGAAGTAGTGCATCATCATTTGTTGGCCATATTTTTATTGAAAGAGTTAGACATCAAATGCAGAGGGAAATGGTCAGTCCGCTTTCTCTCTCAGCAAAATACCTTCATATTGAAATTCAGTTTTGAGTTTTGAAAATTATTTATTTTCAGAGAGAAGCTGTATCTACATCTCACTGTTCTCAACCCAACACCATTGAATATGAAATGGCCATGGAATGGCGTTTACTGCAGTCTCGATCTGATTTCTGGTGGAGGAGGCTGTACAAGGTATTAAACCAAAACCAGCCTTTATGTTCCTTGCTTGGTGATGACTTTGATCGATCAGGATTTCTTTAACTTCTAGCTTATTTCTATTTCCAGCAACAAAACGGAGATTGGAGAAGAATCGCCACCAAATTGAAGTCAAAATGAATATCAACATATAGAGTATGCCACCTGATCTCTACATCCTTTGATTTCACCGTATTTATCGAAATGCTTCTAAGAACAGCTCGCTCAGTGTTGATTGGAATTTTCAGAAGCTTTGCCCATTCATATTATAGTTTTGTGGGCTGATATGAAGTTACTCCCTACATACAAAAGAGGGCTATGGGTGTATAGATTTTGTGGTGTAGACTGTAGACTGTAGAGTAGATTTACCAACAAATTGATGACTAAATCAAATGAATTTGTTATGTTCTATTTTTACTCTTTTATTTTTAGATTTCATGATGTCCCTGTAAATCTGTGCAAGCATTCAAGGCATAATGAAGTTTGACTCATTTTCTTATTACAACAAATGCTTCCTCACTCTTTACCAACAAGATTTATTGACTATGTTTTAGCATTTCACCATAAAGACTAATCAACAATTTGTAAATACGGATGAATATCAACTCTAGTACATATAGTATGTGGACCGCTGAGTAAGAAGAAAAAAGAAAAGTGATAAGAAAAAAAAAAAAAAGAGGACAAGAAATTGGTGTTGTTAAGGTGACAATTCAATGAACAAATTGGATAGTGACATGATTTGAAATAGAGAGGAAAATCAATTTGTGTTGTACTTAGCTTGCCTATTACTAATTAAACATTTTATCAATTAGAATTTATTTATGATTTTTATTAAATTGAGATTAATATGGTGCCGTTAAGTTATGAAATTAACAATATAAAGAATACTAACAAACTACAAAGATTTAAGTTTTATGAAAGCAAGGTGGTGACGTTGGGCGTGTCGACGGTGGCTGGTAAAATTAAAATTTAAGTCTTTGATCTCAAAATTTCAATGGTCCAAACCTGCTCATAAAAATTCATGGAGAAGGGTAGAGTCGCCTAAACAATGGCATATATATAGAGAGAGAAAATTTCAATTTTGGTCCACTGACTATTGGAGTTATGTTAATTGCAGCACTTGACTTTCAAAAATGATAATTTAGTACCTTGACTATGCAATTTCTATCAATTTTGGTCACGCCGGCCAAATTGCCGACCAAATCTCACCGGAAAAATTTTAATGGTCAAATTATGAGGGTAATTTAGTCATTTTATTCCTCTTTTCTTTCTTCTCCAATCTTCTCTCCATCTCCGGCGACAATTTATTTTCCGATGTAAAGACGAACCTTTGAAGCCTCGCGACCTGAGAAAGAATACACCAATGTAAAGCGACATCTTCTTCGTCTGTGTGCACCACTACCACCACTTCCATATTACATTAGAAACCTACTGCGAAGGTCAACATCGCTCATCCCGAGCCCCCCTTTCTACCTCGGAAAACAACGCAATTCCAATTCCGACGACCCGACCTCGGCCACGATCGCCAAAAAAAAAGATAAAACCCGGGAACCGGCAGCAAACGACAAGGAATCCGAGGATTCCCTCGACGTAAAATCAAACTACGGGATCTCAATTCGAGAAGCGACCAAATTAAATGACAACCCAAATCCCACAATCGCAGAACAAAGTCTGAGGAAAATCAATTCCACAATGGCAATTCAAAGATATAAAGAAATTGACCGATCGATTCCTCTATCTGCATACTGTGTTTACGCGTGTATTTTTTTATTTTTTATTTTTCTCTTCAGTTCTCTCTCTATATAAATTGTCGGTGTATCCCCCCTTTGTTTACGTGTGTATTCTTTCTCAGGTCGCGAGGCTTCAAAGGCTCGTCTTTACATCGGAAAATAAATTGTCACCGGAGATGGAGAGAAGATTGGAGAAGAAAGAAAAGATGAATAAAATGACTAAATTACCCTCATAATTTGACCATTAAAATTTTTCCGGTGAGATTTGGCCGGCAATTTGGCTGGCGTGACCAAAATTGATAGAAATTGCATAGTCAAGGTACTAAATTATCATTTTTGAAAGTCAAGTGCTGCAATTAACATAACTCCAATAGTCAGTGGACCAAAATTGAAATTTTCTCTCTCTCTCTCTCTCTCTCTCTCTCTCTCTCTATATATATATATATATATATATATATATATATATATATATATATATATATCCAAGGTGCGAAATAGGAATGTCTGATATCCGTCCACGTGTCCAGATCTTAGGGATGGCAATATGCCCCGTCCCCGATGGGGATCCCCGATCCCCGCCCCGACGGGGACGGGGATGTAGAAAATTTTCGGAGAACGGGGACGGGGACGGGGAATGTTTGTAATTCCCCGTCGGGGACGGGGACGGGGACGGGGATACCCCTCCCCGCCCCGTCCCGTCCCCGAATAATTATTATTATTAAAAATAAATAAATAAATAAATATAAATAATATAAAGTAATGAAATGCTAAGGCAGTACGTACTGTTACATTATATATATATATATATAATTAAGATTTAACTTTTTAGTTTTTAAAATTAAAAATTACACTAATTTAAAATTTTGATTAAGAATTAATCGGGGACGGGGAATCCCCGTCCCCGCCTAATTCCCCGCGGGGACGGGGATGGGGGTTGTTTTCAATTCCCCGCCGGGGATGGGGACGGGGACGGGGATGGGGTCGGGGTTTCGGGGACGGGGACGGGGAGTATACTCCCCGCCCCCGCCCCGCCCCGTTGCCATCCCTAGCCAGATCTAATGGATGAGAAACATTGATTTTAAAAAAAAAAAAAACGCGGTGGCATTTTCGTAAATAATTGAACATCGAAGTGCAAGTAAATTGTATTACAAGTGCATGTAAAATGTATTATAGGTGCAAGTAAAAATTTACACTGAGCATCAATACTAAGTGCACCTATAGTTATAAGTAGTTGCACCTAGGGGTGGAAATAGGCCAGGCCCCTACATAGGGGCCTATGGCCTGGCCTATTTAAGGCCTGGCCTGGCCTATTTAGTTAAAAGGCCAGGCCTAGGCCTAGGCCTATTTAAAAGCCTATTTAGTTAAATAGGCCCAGGCCTATATTTGAAAGCCTGGCCTACGAGCCTGCAGGCTTGGCCTGTTTATATATATAAAATATATGTTTAATATTTAATTATTAAATACATTTTATAACTAATATATTTTAATAATACATTTTATAACTAATATATTTTAATATTTATAATATAACCAATGTATATATATATATATATATATATATATATATATATATATATATATATATATATATATATATATATATATATATATATATATATATATATATAATATATTAAGTCATTAACCCAGCATAACCCTAGACTCCCAACTCCCAAGTCTGCAGTCGACTAAATACCAATCGGCCGTCCATCCGTCATCCCCAATTCCGCAGACACGACGTGAGAGGACTGAGACTCGGCTTGGCGGTGACTCCGGCGAGGCGGAGACCTTGCAAGTTGCAACGACTGACGATTGCGTCTCTTCTTGGCGGGCGGCGGCGAGGCGGAGACCTTGCAAGTTGCAACAACTGACGATTGCGACTCTTCTTGGCGGCGAGGCGGCGACTCCAGTGAGGTTGGTGTTGTCTTCTTCTTACTGTTATACTATACGTTTATACTTTATACTGCGATAGTGCGAATCTGCTTGCTGTAAATGTTGTGTACTGATCTACTGATCTACTGCGAATCTGCTTGCTGTAAAGTGAGGTAAAATACTAAAATACTAAACTGCGAATCAGTGCTGCCTCCGTGAGTCCATTTCGCAAATTAGCAAATGTTAATTACAGTTTAGCAAATTAGCAAATGTTATTACAGTTTACAGTTTAGCAAATTAGCAATTGTGAGTAGTTTAGTAAATAGTTTAATAATTACAGCTTAGCAAATTAACAAATGGTTATTAATACTGTAGTAAACTGGAAACCTAGCAAATTACATGATTAATACTTTAGTAAACTGGAAACCTAGCAAATTACAGTTAGATACTTAGCATTTAGCAAATTACAGTTTATTAATTATAGCAAATTATACTTAACAAATTACAGTTTACTAATTATGTTTAGTTGTTTATAATGTTTAATATAATTAGATATGTAGATGTTACTTTGTTTATGTGTATTGATAGTTAAATATCTATAAAATTATACAGGATGACAATGAGCAATCTATTGAAGCTCTTATTTATGGTGGGGATTGACTTCGTAACAAGTATAGGCGGAAGAAAAATCGAAAGGTAACAATCGTATCTCATATTATTACTTATTACTTTAATATTTATTATTTATGAATTATGAGCACTTGAACTTGTAATAGACTTAACTATTTATTCTCAAATTCTTTTTCATTGTGTAGGAGGATTCTGGACAAGAGGAGATTATGTTGAAGCCATGACTTAGTTTGAATACTATTATGTTTACATTGTTTTTATTATGTTTGTATTGTGGACTTACAATTTGTGTAATTGTGTTGTTAAATTTTGCGATGGACTTTTGTTTTATGGACATGTGGAGTTGTAGTTATTAAACTTGTATAGTTGTATTGTTGAATTTTGTATTATGAAATTCTATTTGTTAAACTTGTGTTGTTGGAAGTTTTATTATAAAATATGAATTTATATTCTACTAATTAAACAGGAATATATTAAAAGTCTTTAAAATGTAGGCCTTAAATAGGCTCAAAGCCTATTTTTGAGCTTGTTTAAATAGTATTTTGAAGCCTTTTTAAAAGCCTATTAATAAATAGGCTTTTAAAAAGGCTTCAGGCTAGGTCAGGCCTATTACAGGCTCAGGCTTGAGCCTAAAAAAAAGCCTACATACAGGCTTAGGCCCAGGCCTAGGCTTTAGATTTTCATGACAGACCCAGGCCTAATTTTCAAAAGCCTGGCTTGGCCTGGCCTATTTCCACCCCTAGTTGCACCTAGGTGCATGAATGTTTGCGGGTGGTTTTCAGGGGTATTACTACCTGCTAAACTCAGATCAATGAATGTTAACAAGGCAAAATTACATGCACATGTGGGCGAAAGTAGGTGCACTTGTAGGTGAAAGTAGGTGCACCCGATCAATGAGTGCAGACAAAAACTACATGCACTTGCAGGCGAAAGTAGGTGCACTTGTAGGTGCACCCGATCAATGAACGCTGACACGTGGCGCGCGCTGATTGGTTCACATTTCTCTGCTGAGCACTTATTCGCACTTGAACGCGCATGTAAAATGTATTACAAGTGCATGTAAAATGTATTATAGGTGCAAGTAAAAATTTACACTAAGCATCAATACTTAGTTGCACTTATAGTTCTAAGTAGTTGCACCTATAGTTCTAAGTAGTTGCACACATAGGTATAAGTAGTTGCATCTAGGTGTATGAATGTTTGCGAGTGGTTTTCAGGAGTATTACTACCCGCTGAACTCAGATCAATGAATGTTAACAAGGCAAAATTACATGCACTGATAGGTGAAAGTAGGTGCACCTATAGTTATAAGTAGTTGCACCTATTGTGATAAATAGTTGCACATATAGTTATAAACACACCCAGGTGTATGAATGGTTGCGGAAAGTGAATGCTAACAAGGCAAAATTACATGCACTTATAGGTGGAAATAGGTGCACTTATAAGAGATTTTACTTGCACTTCGATGTTCAATTATTTACGAAAATGCCACCGCGTTTTTTTTTAAGTTATTAGATGTGGACACGTGTCGCGCGCAGATTCGTTCGCATTTCCTTCCTGGGCATTTATTCGCACCTGAGTGCGTCCCTATATATATATATATATATATATATATATATATATATATATATATATATATATATATATATATATATAAGTCTTCAGGTGCCATGCAAACCAATGCCTATTGTGTGAACTTGTGGATCAATGTAGTGCATTGATTTCGCACGATCTAACGCTTTAGTATTTTCTCTCTATACGTTGCGTTAGACTACTCGTAGTATTAGGACTCTATGTATTTGAGTTAGATTATGATTCCAATTCCAGTCTCCCTAATACTCTCTTGTTATATATACATGTAATCTGTACTATTGTAATTATTTTATTCAATACAATTCTATTAGTTCTCATCTGGTATCAGTTAAGCTAGGGTTTCTTTCCAATGGCTGACGGATCTGTAGCATCTTCGGAACGGACCGTCTCTAATCTTCCTATCTCTTTGGTCACATCGACCGTAAATTCCTTGTCCACCGCTCACCATTTTATCAGCATCAAACTGACCTACAAGAACTACCTGTTTTGGAGAGCTAGATTGTTCCCTTTCTTGATGGTCATGATTTAATTGGGTTCATTAACGGTACAAACCCATGTCCGCCAGCTTTACTTTCTGGCGGTAAATACGACGTAATGGCGCAACCCAACTCTGACAACCGAGCTTGGGTTCGCCAGGATCAAGCCCTTTTGTCTATGCTGATGTCGTCATTCTCCGATGAGGTCATGCCACTCGCCATCGGTCACCGTACCAGTCAGGCAGTTTGGACTGCCGTCGTCGACGCCCTTGCATCGTCCTCTCGCTCTCGTGGTTTAAATCTTATTGGCCAACTACAATCGCTTCACCAAGGAGATTCATCCGTTGTTGACTACATCGGAAAAGCGAGGGTGTTAGTTGAGGAACTTACCCTCGCCGGCCGGCCGTTGACGTTTGAGGAACAAAATCTCTATGTTCTTCGAGGGTTACGGCCCGTGTTCTGGGGGCTCACATTCTCTCTCAATGTTCGAGGTTAGCTCGTCACGCTCCAAGAACTCGTTGATCTTCTTGGTGTGAAGGAGTTCATGATGGGCGGTGGTTCGCCAGCACCCTTCATGGCACAACAAAGGGGGCGTGGCTCCCAGCTTCGTGGTGGAGATGGTCTCGGTAACAGGCAGGACAGCGGCCAAACCGGCCAATCGCGCGGCGGTGGTAGGAACGGTAATTGGCAGTCTAAATGTCAGTTATGTTCAGTGATTGGTCATACTGCGGTCACTGGTCATCTTTGGTATGCCAAAGATCCTCAGGCTAACATCATTTATCAAGATCCTCCTTTGGATTCTCAGGGGTCTCACACTTGGTTTCCAGACACGGGTGCAACCAATCATGCTACTCCGGACATAGCTGCTCTTTCGGTCTCGGAGGAGTACAATGGTATTATGGTAATGACATGTTACATGTCGGTGATGGTATGAGCTTACCTATTAGTTGTATTGGTCATGCTACCTTTAATACCCCTTCTAGATCGTTTCAGTAATCTAATATCCTTCATGTTCCTAGTTTCTCTACATCTTTATTATCTGTTCATAAATTTGCGTTGGATACTAAGGTGTTTTTTGAGTTTCACCCGTCATTTTTTTTGTTATGAAGGATATCAACACCAAGGAAACTCTTCTACGGGGCAATAGCTCTGGGGGCTTTACAAGCTTCTCATTCCAAGTTCATCTCCTACTGCGTTTCTCTCTGCTCATGCATCCGTGTCGGTTTGGCATGATCGTCTAGGTCATCCACACCAACGTGCTCTTAGTCAAATTCTTTCGTCTTGTTCGGTTAGTGGGTCAAAAAATAATATTTGTTGTATTTCGGGTCTATGAAATGCATGTCAGCTAGGGAAGTCTGCATGTTTCTTTCCTTACCGCGTGTTGAGTCCTCTAGTTCATGTATTCTTGATTTAGTTTACACAGACATTTGGGGACCAGCTCTCATCCTTTCTAATAATGGATATTGTTACTTCGTTATATTTATTGATGACTACTCTCGTTACACTTGGTATTTCCCTATGTCTCAGAAATCTGATCTATATGCAATTTTTGACAAGTTTCGTGTTATGGTTGAGCATTCGTTCAATCGTAAAATAAAATTCATCCAGTCTGACCTAGGAACTGAATATAAAAAGTTACATTCCACCTTGACCCAACTAGCATTATTCACAGACAATCTTGTGCATACACTCATGAACAAAATGGTCGTGTCGAAAGAAAGCATAGACATCTTGTTGAAACAGGTTTAGCTCCCATGAGTCGTGCTTCTATTCCCTCTAAGTATTGGGATTATGCATTTGAGACTGCGGTTTATTTAATTAACAGGATGCCATCTATTGTGTTAAATAACTCCAGTCCTCATCTTTTATTGCATAAATCCCCTCCGTCTTATTCCTTTCTTCGTATTTTTTTTTTATCTATGTTATCCGTACTTGCGTCCCTATAATCGTCACAAAATGTCTTGCAGGTCTTCCTCTTGTATGTTTCTTGGTTATCCTGAGTCATTTAGGAGGTATAGGTGCATGGACCTTCAGACTAACAAGATATATGTATGCATGCATGTTTGGTTTTGATGAAGGAGTGTTTCCTTTCAGTAAAAATATTTTGCAGGCACCACCAATTCAGATGATTCAGCCATGGGCTGAATCTGTGATAGTTCCAATCTAGCCCACAGCTACGGTTCATATTACTCAGGCTAAACCGGCCCCGACTCTTGCTGCCCAGTCGGAATCGGTCCAGGACGAACCTACTGCTGTCGCCCGCCCTTGAGGTCGCCCGACGGGGCGGTCTAAGGTCTGAACGCACACCATGGCGACTCGGAGTCGGTCTGAAGCTCCCCTTTTGGCCCTTTCTACTCAGGTTTGTCCTACTGAACCCACTTGTTATACACAGGCAGTCAAACATGAGTGGCGCAAGGCAATGGATGATGAGTTTAATGCACTTCTTCATAATGAGACTTGGTGTCTCGTTCCATCACAGTCAGATATGAATATTATTGGGTGCAAATGGGTTTTTTCGCACCAAATGGAAAGCTGATGGATCGATAGAACGATACAAACCAAGGTTAGTAACCAAAGGGTTTAATCAAGTACCTGAACAGGATTTTTTTCGACACATTCAGTCCAGTAGTCAAACCCACCACCGTCAGGTTACTTCTATCTTTGGCTATATCCTATGGATTGTCCGTTAAGCAGCTTGCATGTGCACAATGCCTTTTTGAATAGGAAATTGTCTAAAGCTGTTTATATGAAGCAACCGCGTGGATATATTGATAAGCAGTTTCCTAATCATGTTTGTCTGTTAGAACGTTCTCTCTATGGATTAAAACAAGCTCCTAGAGCTTGGTTCAATCGATTGCATGCGTTTCTAATGACAACAGGGATTAAAGCTTCGAAAACAGATGTATCTTTGTTTTACTACTCACATGGTTCATGCTTCATTTATGTTCTGGTGTATGTTGATGATATTCTTGTAATGGGCAATGATCAAAATCTTGTCAGCACCTTACTAACAGCATTATCCTCTACATTCAAGATTAAGGATCTTGGTGAACCTAGTTTCTTTCTTGAGATTGAAACTGTTAAATATGGTGATGGAATTTTGCTTTCTCAGCAAAGATACATGACTGACATTCTAAAACGTGCTGGCATGACAAACTGTAAACCCTTAACTACTCCTATATCTGCTTCGAAAATCACTTTTTTAACGCTGATTTATATGATGATGCTACACAGTATAGGAGTCTGGTTGGAGCTTTACAATATCTTACGGTTACTCGTCTAGATCTATCCTTTGCGGTCAACCAACTCTGCCAACACATGCATGCTCCTATGGTCTCTCATTGGGAGAAATTAAAACGTGTACTGAGGTATGTAAAAGGAACTACTACTTATGGTCTGCGAATACGAAAGTCAGTGTCCAGAGAATTACATGCTTTTTCAAACTCTGATTAGTTGGCTGTCCTGAGGATCGTAAGTCAACTAGTGGGTACACTGTTTTTTTTTTTTTTTTTTTTTTTTTTTTTTTTTTTTTTTGTTCCAACCTTATATCATGGGTATGTAAGAAACAAAGAATGGTTGCTAGATCATCGCTGAATATAAAGCTTTAGCATATGTCTGTGCTGAGGTAATTTGGATCCTCTCTCTATTGCGTGAAATTGGCGTGTCTGGTGTGTCTACTCCCAGGCTGTGGTGTGATAATCTTGGTGCTACATACATGTGTGCCAATCCTATTTTTCATGCTCGTACTAAGCATGTAGAAATTGATTATCACTTTATTAGAGACAGAGTTGCGAATGGAGATATACAGGTTAATTTTATTTCAACTAAGGATCAACTGGTAGATATCTTTACCAAAACTCTACCTAGTCCTAGATTTTCTTTTCTTAGAGACAAGCTACAAGTCACTACTGTACCTTGTGCTTGAAGGGAGTATTAGGACTCCCTAAGACTCTCTTGTTATATATACTCCTGTAATCTGTACTATTGTAATTATCTCATTCAATACAATTCTATCACTTCTTATATGTAAGAGTGCATGCGGGTATTCATGGAAGTGCACTGCTGTTTTTTTAAAATGAAATATGATAAAAGGACCGTGAGTTAGATTCTGATTCATTACGAGTTTGAATTGCGTGGTTTTCGGTGGGTTAACATTGTCAAACGATCGGACTGCACTATTGGGCTTCACCTATGGAGATCGGCTAGCGTGATGTACCATGCGGTGACGATGAATCTCAGTGCTACCAGTTTGTTTTTTTTTTTTTTTTTTTTTTAATAATTATGCGTAGAATGGGTTGTGGTCACTGGTAAGGCATTATGCATTGCATTATGGTCCTTGTGCACTTGAATGGGGAATTACGTACTGGTGGATTATGATAGTGGAACCTCGCCATAGCAGTGCAGGCAGTTCCCTAACGCGGCACCCTAGTACTATTTAAATGCACCGCATGGTGATCCCCGTGCATTAGATAGTGCTTATACGTTTTGGGTATAGGTGGCATCGCACTTACGCAGTGCCACCTAGTAATGGTGAAGTAGATGGTTGCATGGTATATGTGCATCCCATAGGGCCGCCACCACACACCGGTTGCAACACGAGCTGTCGAGGGAGGAGACCGGCCGAACGACTGGCGCTTGTACAACACAGACAACGCTCAGATCGACAATGCAGCGGCGAAGACCAGAGTCTACGGCGACACAAAATGCCTGGCCGCCCTCCTCTTCGATTGGCAACCGCCACTAGAGCTAGCCATCACAAATTCCCAATGCAAACAAAGTTGGAGCGAGAATTGAAGAGTGCACACCGAGAAACGCAACAAAGAGACTCAAAACACAAACAAATCAAAACTTTGATCCCGCGCTACTAGAGTGCACCCAAAATACTAAAGTGCCCATTCCTAAATAAAACAAGAAATAAGGTCCAAATTTGCCACCCCTGTTTTTTCTTTTTCGTCTCCAATAAAAATAAAAATAAAAATAAAAAATAAAATAAAAAACTTTGGCGGCCACCCCCTCCTCTGTCTCTGCCGGAGACAAAGGAGCAGGGAAGGGGATGGCGTGAGACGAAGGACATGTCTCACGCCCACCACCCTTCCCCCGAGACGAAGGAGCTATCTTCGTCTCCGGTCGAAGACTAAGACAGTCTCTTCGTCTCCGGTTGGAGATGAAAGAACATGGATTGCCGTCGGCCACCCCGAAGTTATTTATTTATTTTTATTTTGTTTTAAATTTTAATTTTAATTTTAATTTTATTATTAAAAATTATTTAAAATACCAACTCACCTTCCATGTAAGGAGGCAACCTGTTAAAATTAATGGTAACCTGCTATCAGGTGAAATTGCACAAATTTAGAATGGCAACCTGTTAAAATTAATGGTAACCTGCTATCAGGTGAAATTGCACAAATTTAGAATGTTCAATGGCTTAATTACAATTTTTTTTGTTCAATGGCCTAATTGCATTTTCAAGTTATGTTCAGTAGCCAATTTGAACCTTAGATTTCAAACACACAAAAAAAAAAAAAAAAAAAAGGATCATAGATTTGTCAAGATGCAAGGCCAAGATGAATGCAAAAGTTCACATGATAATACATGACCTCCCCAAAAAGTAAGTTTTAAATGTTTCGTTATATAGAGACCATTGCTAAAGCGAAATCCCCAAAAAGATAAAGAATACATATAATGTGAATCTATGAAAAACAAAAACAGAACATTAGGCTCATTTCAAATTGTGTACACAAAAACTACAAATTGTTGGCTATCAAATTCTTCACTGCCATGGTAGACTGTAAAGACATATGTAACCTAGCAACCTTCAGAAGATGTAGAAATCTAACCGTAAAGTACAGAACGTGACAATGTTGCCAAATTAGTTCAAACTGCTTATAGTATGAAGGAATGGAAGTTTCGTTACTGCTGCTGCTGCTCATAGATCTGCATATATGCCTCTGAGAGCGCAACGACATGTGAGAGAGTCTCGGTGACATGCAAGTCTTGCATCTCAAACCTGGGACAGATACAAGGAAACGAATAATTGGAATGCAAGGGCGTTCAAATCATGGAAAACATAATAAAACTATATGAACGGAAAGGGGTAAAATTACCATAGTGCTTCTGACTTTCGCTGTACGAATACCCTGTAGGATCCTTCACCAGGTTTGCCATCATGAACAATGTTGCCAATCAAGTCATACTTGGAACGCAATTTTTCGTTGTCCTTGGGTGATGGAAGAGGAATATAGTCCTTCAGCTCTAGATTTTTCACAGGGAAGTTGACTGGAACAAGAACAGGATAAATACATCATCATAAGAAAACAGCATAAGGAAAAACATTTATCTAGGTGTCCCAAGTTCAAATTTTTTAAAGGTACTCAAAGCTGAAATTCTTGTTCTCCAAAAGAGTGAGATTGCAAGAATTATGTGTATACAAAGAGGGTATTTTCCGATCTTATGAGTAAACTTATCACATCAATATAGAAAGCATGAGATCTCCAGGTGAAGTAGGGTTCTATGTCTACCATCATAAAAGTACTATCATTGCAATCTTGCCACATTATGGAAGTACAAAAGAAATTTGTTGTCCTTTCTTTGATAGTTAGATGTCTGATCCAAAAACTGCAATTAATAAAATACTTACCAAGAGTAGGGTTTTTTTCCACAAAGAAATTGTTCTTTGTAAATCGGCGCATGTGGAGAATTAGATACTTTGGCAGTTTTGTCACACGATATCTCATCCTAGCAATACGAGGTCTCACAACTTCGGTCACGGTCTCACCATCAAACTTCTTCAATATATTGAATAATGGAACCTGCAGTAGAATACCATACCATTACATTAAGATTAAACTAGTGAAATATCAGAAAATTAGTCATTAAATATTATCATTTTATAAAGAAAGCTTATAAACTCCACATCAGATGGACAATGCAAGTAAACAAATTTTCAAGACAGTCAAAATAACATTACATATATGTTACAAATACAAACCTGGGGAATAATGTTCTTCTCCAGAATATCTTGGAAAAGAGGAGGTGGAGGTAAATCAAGTCCAAGCATCAAGAAAGGCATTCTACTTGTTTCAGCGATTACATTGACAGCGTCACTTCCACCATCACCATTAGCATCTCCATTCTCTTTATTCTCAGCAACAGCTCTACTGTGCATCTCTTTCACCACCTCCAACTCACCCTGCAATAAACAATGCATCATTAGGCTATACAGTATTAGAAAAATTAAAAAGAAAAAAAAAAAAAAAAGAAAAAAAGAGGATGATCATTTTATAGGGCAACACCTGGAAGCACTGGTAGATTATACTGCTACTTTTCTTGGAAGTTCTGAGGTCTGCGTGCAGGGTATTAAGAAGCCATGACATAAATTCAACAGGATCAGACTGCGCACCTATTCGGAAACGTTTTTTGCTTGATTTCATGACAGCTTGCAAGAATTCATGTGGGCTGACCTGCAACATCACAAAGTTAAAGATATGTTGGAACTACAGAATCTAGGTGCAGTTGGGGAATAGAGGAAACCTGTCCTTTGAAGTTTCTAGCATGCCAAATCTTTCGAGTGAGTTCTCCAAATCGATGAACCAGTGGGGATTTACTGTGTTGATAATTTTCAGGGATTAGAAAGAAATTCCTCAATGGAGTCACCCTCATTAAAGACTGAATTGTAACATTAACAAAATCAGTCTCCTTAATGTTATTCAGCCCCACCTAACAGGTTACAAATTAAAGGAGAATTAAATTAGGTAAGCATTTAGAACAAAAACAAGAAAATAAATAACAGGAAAAAGGTAATGGATTCCATAGATTCAATTTAAAGAAAAAGGTAATTGATCCCAGAAAATCCAAGTTTAGTACCGTTCCAGGAAGATAATCAGATCCATCGAGTGCCCTAGACCACTGTGTGCTGTTATCGAGCTGTTCAACTTGTTTCAAAGAAAATCTGCAAAGAGATTCCAAGAACATATCCCAACCACAAAAAACACAAGATGAAGAATTATATGGAACTAAGAAAGAGAAGATAAATAAGTTGATAAAAGCAATCGAATAGGAAATCCAACAAACCTAGGATTCAGAACATGTCGAATATCATCCAGTGATGAATCTATAACTTCATATCCATCAGGAAGACAGTATATCTTCTCTGTTCGCAGATTGATGTAAACATGGTGCCCTGCCTCAAGACTGTGTGTATATGCATGAGATTTTGGCCCCCTTCCTTGGTAATACTTCCCACACACCAAACATGCATATACATTTAAATTTGTTAAAGACACAGAACAAAATTTCTCAAAGTCAAAATCCAGAACCTGCAAAAGTGGAAAAGGAATTAGAATATGAGCCACCAAGTTACAACATTCATAAACTTCAGTGGCAGTGATACCTTAATAGAAAAAGGAAATCCAGCTTCTACATAAGCTTTCAAGAAAATAATGGAACAATGGAATAGAGAGCAAACACCAATAACCAAAAACCTACAGAGGCAAATTTTTTTAAAAGAAGCTTGCTAATTACAAACCTAATTAACATGATATTCAGATATAGGTACATGATATGGAGTGAAAAGGAAATCTAGTCAAAAAATTTAGCATCAACCTCAGGCCCCAAGAACAGGATGAACAAAATCCTATTGGTTAGCACATACTCACTATGGAGCTTCAATAAGATCAAGAAAATGAAAATAAGAGAAAGACCAAAACATTGGCATGGCTACTGCATACACAAACTCATCCATGGAAGAAAGAATCAAGAATGACCTGTCTATTAACTGTATCAAGATAAGGACAGTCCCTTCTCACTTCAACCACTCGGTGCTTCCTACCTCCACTTCCTTTCCAAGCTTCATCTTCACTATCATCCTCTTCACTGTCAGACTTGTTCTCACTGCTCCCCAATCTTCCTCTTGCAACATTTTGATCTCTCTTGTCACCATCTTCATCCTCATCATCATCATCATATGATGCAAGTGGAAGAAGGGCATTATCAAAAGCAAGCTGAGGCGGAGAAGAAGGAGAGGATTGCTCCACTATCTTCTGCTTCTTTGAGTCTGTTTCCTCATCCAGCTCACTGTTTTCTGCCTCCCTCTTTGTAGTCATTCTCTGATTAAGATTATTTTGACCACACTGCAGAATAGTATTATCCAATCACGGTTATTAACATTAAATATGTATCTTTAAAGCTTTAATCTATTAACTTAGCACTGAATTTTAAAGCAGAAGATAAAGACCAAGTACAGTTGCATTACAAAATCAACATTTCTAAATTAACTGATGAATAAAGAAAGTCTCACCTCAATGATTAGTTTGATTACTCCAATTAAGAAAAGAAAATTAAAAAGTTCTAAAACCATGACATAAGTGCTTCTCTGTTTAGAAGCTAGGTCACATAACTCATATCTTTCTCATATACATGCATTGTACACATGTTTATAACTGAACTTCAGTACCTTCAGTTCAATCATAGCAAATTAACACATTCATGGTGCTTTAAAAATGTGCATGCCGCACCCCTAGTCCAAAATAAACAGAACCGAACTATAACATGTAAAACTGTAAAAACTGTTATAACACTACATCCCCAAAACATTATTCAAATACTGTAGAGCGTTTGAAAGTAAATAGAGAAACGCTAGATTTAGTGATTTACTTAGTTGACTCAATTTATATGCTTAACAATCAATCTTTAGTCATTACCAAACAAGTATGTTTACAAAATATAAGTTGCTAGGAGTTTGATTATAAAAGATATCATGATAATTATATATCAAACCTCCCTTAAAAACACTCACCATCAAAATTCATTCTAGCAACTAGCATCATAGACCTTGAAATTCAACCGAGTAGCTCAATGGCTACGTCTAAAATTCCAAATACAATACTTCTTTCTTCTTTTGTCAATTGTGTACCTAGTTTTGTTCTAATAATTTTCATTTAAATTTACCGTCATTAAACCCTCAAAAATCTTTTCTGCCACAATCCCAAAATAAATCTTCTACTCATTCCTCTAATTAGATGATTAACAAAGAAGCCCTAAAGTAACCAACTGATCTTCCTATAATTATATAATTAACAGAAGCACATCGCCCATACTAAAGCCATAGCTCTCTCTCTCTCGACCATTAACAATTGAGTTAATACCCAAAATGGTCCTCGACTATAGTGATTTTTCTTAATTTTGTCCTAAACGACATTGGTGTCTTAATATAGTCCCAGAGTTCTGTGCTTTTACTCAATTTAGTCTCAAACTTTTGTGTTTTTGCTCAATTTAGTCCCCTCATTTGTTATTCCGTCCATTTGTTGTTAAATAAATAGACAATTCAGTAATTTTAACATTGACATCTCTTTACTCATAGACATGTGATGTGCGAAATCCATCTTTTTTTACGAATTATTCCCAAAATCACTTTTAAACCTGCGAATATAAAACTTGATTCGTAGGTCTGGGAGTAATTCTGGGTGTAATTCGTGCAAGAAAGAAGGATTTCTCACTTCCGCATGTTGAAAGTAAAGAGAGGTCAATATTGATATTATTGAATTGTTCCTTTATTTAACACCAATTTGACGGAATAACAAACGGAGGACTAAATTGAGCGAAACACAAAAGTCTAAGACAATATTAGGTCACCAAAGTCATTTAGGATGAAATTGAGAAAACCCACTATAGTCGAGGACAATTTTGAGTATTAACTCATTAACAATTCAAAGAAATCCAAATCTTTCTAAGACAGCAAACATCACCTTTTGCAACCTCCATTAACAAATAGGGATGGAGCCAAGATTTCTTTTGAGTGGGGGGCGAAGAAGCAAAGGTAAAATGAATTCAAAAATCTTCAAATACAAGGTTCAAACAAAATTAGGGAAATTATGCCAACACCAATACAATTCATTCACTGCTCACAATCCTCACATTCAAAAATCAAAACAATTAAACAATATTCATCATTTTCCTTTGCAACACCCACAAGAGCTCACATTCATATAAAAGCACATACATTAAAAACAATATTAGTCATTTAAAACAATCCAATAACTGCTCACTGCTCACATAGTCACATTCAAAACAATATTACTTATATTAGTCATTTACTCATTTAGTCTATTAGATATAAATCATCCAAAAACCACTTAAGCACTGCACATACGACATTCATGATTTAAAAACAATATTTTTAGGCATTTTAGCTGCTCACTGGCTCAGTGCTGACATAATCACATTCATGATTCATATAAAAGCACTTAAGCACATACGGCTAAATCATCCAAAAACCACATACGTTAAATATTTAAATTGATTAAAAACAATATTAGTCACCGCTCACATTCATATAAAATTCAAGGGCAAAACCAATAAAATTTAATATAATTAACTAATTAAGAGTCTAAGGATTAGGGAAATTAGGGCAAAAATAAAATTAGAGAAATTATGGCAAAAATACGAACCTGAGAGGCAGAGATTGTGAGGCACTGACTCACTGAGGACTCCTGCTGGGCTGCTGACTGGCGAAATTAGGGCGAGGACTGGCGACTGGTCCGACGATAACGGAGTAATGGTCTGGCAGCAGGCGAAGAAGTGAAGTGGCGGACTGGTCAGGCGAGGCAGCGACCGGCGACTTCAGCTTGGATCTTTGGGGCGACGAGGTGTTAGGGCTTTCACGTTTTGCAGTTCAGGCCCTCAGGGCTTCAGGCGTTCAGCGAAAAACACAAGAATAATAGACTGCCAGCATAACAGCTCAATTGGCAATCGTTATGCTGTGCTGCCGGATGCACCATGAATGCCAAAACGACGTGGTTTTATTAAAAAATGTGCGTTTTCTTTTTTAAAAAATTCAGGTTTGATTCCCAGCAACAACATTATATTATTCATTCATTCTGTAATTTTAGTTCATTGATTATGGAATTATAGTTCATTGATTATGGAATTATAGTTCATCGATTATGGAATTGTAGTTCATCGATTATGAAATTTTAGTTTATAAATTATGGAATTTTAGTTCATTCATTCTGGAATTTTTAGTTCATAGATTAGATTATGGAATTATAGTTCATCGATTATGGAATTATAGTTCATCGATTATGAAACTATACTTCATCGATTATGGAATTTTAGTTCATATGTTATTGCTGGGAATCGAACCTGATTTTTTTTTTAAGGGGAGACACGCGTTTTATTAAAACGACGTCGTTTTTGCATCCGTATGCACCATGCATGGTGCATACGGATGCACAGCATAATTTGCCCTCAATTGGTGGAGGGTGAAATTTGTCACAAGAAATTAAAAGATTAAGTCGCATAATAGTATGGTCGGTGTGGAAGTAAATTTTTCAAAATGAAAAGGCTTTTTATACAGTAACTAAAACTTTAGCTTCTATTGATAAAATTGAAACTTAGGCTCTGTTTGGCAGAGCTTATTTAGGAGCTTATATCTTATTTTAAGCTACTAATAAGCTATAAGTTCTGTTTGGTAATGTTCCCAAAATAAGCTCCTAGCTTAAAATAAGAGCTTATTTTAGAATGTTACTTTAAGTAGCGTTTCAAAATAAGCTCCTAGCTTCCTAACTTTTTTTCATCTTTATCCTCATTATTTTAAAGAAATGACTTAATTTACCCTTCTCAATTAAAATCCTTTTCTCTTATTCTTTATCCGCAACTTTCACCGCAAATATTATTATTATTATTATTATTATTATTATTATTATTATTATTATTATTATTATTAGATTTGCAACAATATTGCTACTTCATTATGAGATGCTAGATCATGATTATGCTAATAGTTTTATTTCAAAATGTTAATTTTTTTTAAAGACAAAATGTTAAATTTTAATATGTAAACAAACTAATTTAAATTTTAGGAAGATGTCCTTTTTAGTCTTTTTATATTTATCAGCTTATCAAAAATCTAATTTTACCAAACACTTTCAATCATAACAGCTAGCTTAACAGTTCTTCAGTTTTCAGCTCCGAGCTTATAGCTTTTCAGCTTTCAACTCCTTTTTCAACTTTCAGCTCCTAGCTTATAGCTTTTAAGCTAGGTTTGCCAAACAGAGCTTTAGTCATTATGATTAACCCCTTTGCAAATTATTGAGTCAGAATATGAGACGCCTAGGTTGAGCACATCCACTTTTTGCCACAAGAATAATAGAATCTTGACATTATTATTATTATTATTATTATTATTATTGTTATTATTATTAGTATTATTATTATTATTAAAAAAAATAATACCAAATAGTGTTTAGGTATTACACTAAACTGAATCGTCAGCCCCTAGTTATTCATATCTTCATTTCAATGAGTAATAAAGTACTCGTAAAGTTTAGAAGATAGTGGAGGGTATAGAGATTTTCTTTTTCTTTTTTTTAATGTGAGAATAAGGATCAATTATATGAAATTTAAAAGTGCAATTAGACTTGACTATACTAAAAAAATACTCCCTTCAACACTTAAAATGTATGCAATTTCACCCGTTAGTTTTTTTTTTTTTTTTTTTTTTGAAAATTTCACCCGTTAGTTAATTATCACTCTTTTTTACGATTGCTTGTTGACGTGGATGATAACTTACAATTGTTTTTAATTTTCTTTCATTTCTTCTTTCTTCCACATTGTCAACTTCTTCTCTCCAACTTAATATTATTCTTCTAATTATCTTCTTTTTTACATAACTAGCCCTAATAGTGTAGTACGAGTAGAATTTCGAATCAGAATTTTCTTATGGTAAAAGAAGTATAGTATGAGCAGGGGTATAAAAATACTACGTATTACTCTTCAATGCATGTCTTCGTCTAATTCAAGGTCATTTTCAAGTTGTCATCAAATCCTAATATGTTAATATTGTGTACTACACTGTTTGAAATGAACTTGTGAATACAAAATAAGGTAATCAATTACATATATGTTAATATTGTGTGTTCATAAACTCTAAGTTGCGTCCACAAAATTATTTGCGTATTAAACTCTAAGTTGTTTTGTACTGGTATCCTTCTTGGGTTCCATTGATCTAGTTACTTTCTTGAGCTGGCCCATGTGGGCCATGCCATTTTGGTTGATTAGTCCGACCGGTCAACCCAGTATACCATCCATCATCTAGTTGTCACTTTCTTGTGACTTCTTGTGACTCATGAAGTGATGTCACAAGAAAGTAGAAAACGAATATCAAGTTCGAACATGCTCTGAGCGCCTAAATAGTCCATGATGAGCCCCCCAAGTCTGAGTTAAGTATAGGGAGTGTGATTTACGCTGGTTGCCTCGTTCAAAACCTTAGACTAAGAAAATTCAGTGGGAAAAAGCTTAACTAAGGGGAAAAGAGTACAACCATGAGCGCAATCTTTAGGACTAATAAAGGGTCTTTAGGATTATTTATGCAATCACATTAACTCTTTTTGGCTAAATCTCAAGTGAGTCTTCAAGTCCGATGGTGAGCGGAGATTGGACTTTGTACTAGCCTTTAGGAAATATGGTAGTTGAAGTACCCAGACCTTCCTTGCTCGGAGCATTGAATATCATGCTCACAATTAGGTGTGCAGAGAATTTGGGAATTACTCCCTGACACCAGGCCGGTTCTGAGCATGTCTAACATGTGCGACCGCACATGGCCTCTAATTTTTGGGGGGCCCCGTAATTAGAAAAATATATATGTATATATAGTATACAAGATTCTAGGCTGTGTAGGGATATTGTACCAATTTGTGATAAGGTGAAATTGTGCCCAATTGACAGTTACTTTAAAAATTCTCAAAAATGTATATGTGTATGTGTGATTGTGCGCGCGCGCGCCCCATTGACAGTTACTTTAAAAATCCCCAAAAAATGTATATATGTGTGTGTGTGTGTGCGCGCGCGTGTGCCCAATTGACAGTTACTTTAAAAATCCCCAAAAAATGTATATATATGTATGTGTGTGTGTGTGTTCTAGGGAAATGGAGATTGTGTCAATTTGTGATATGGTGAAATTGTGCCCAATTGACAGTTATTTTAAAAATCCCCCCCAAAAAGTATATGTGTATGTGTGTGTTTTCTAATCCCTTGATTCCCTTTCCTACTTTTGACGGTTCCCAATCTTTAAATCTCAATTGACAAGTACCATTGTTAATTAAGAATGACAATTCCAATTTAAAATCTCAAATAACAATTAGTATCTTCGCCCTGGACCTTCTACCAATTAGCAATTACCATTATTTTTATTTGGGGAAACCAACGATTTGGTCCCTCAATTGTTAACGAAATATCAATGTAATCCCTTAATCGCGTAATCATCGATTTGATCCCCGAAAATAACTGTTTTTTGTTGATTAAGCCCCTCCGGCCGTTTTCCGTCTATAGTCCGGTGAGAGCTCCGATTTGCCATGGACAATTTAGTCATTCCATGACTTTGGTCTTCTTCTTAATACAAGTTCCAACATTCAACAAACCCATTAACGGATAACCAATTACAAACACATACCAAACAACACTACTTAACAATATATAACTAACCCATTAACTACCACTGCTACAACCTAGTAAAGGTGCAATCTTTATCATCTCCTTACACTTTTAGCATATGAAGCTTGTTAGAAAACGCAATGGCAATCCAGTCAGGCTGTGCAGCAGACCATTGAAGCTGGTTAATCTCAGCCCCAGCTGAGTACATTGACATGGGGTCAATCCCATTTGGGCCTGCAACTGTGGGCAATTCCTAGGTAATTAAGTGCGTGCCCATTCTCTCCAGCAGAACAGATGTGCGAGCTCTGGGGGGTCCCAAGCAATGGCGTTCACACTAGCATTGTGCCTCTCCAGCTCAGCCACGGGCATTGCAGGGGACCTAATGGGGTGTCGGGTTGGGGGCTCTCGTATATGATTGTGGAGTGTTCTTTGTCTCTAAAATCGAAGATCCGAACCGACCCGTCAGCCGAAACCGACGCGAAAACCCCGGCTTCCCCCAGGCTATGTCGTACACCTCTTTATCGTAGGCGATTAATTGGGTTTCCACTACGCCCTTCTCGATGTCCCAAATCGTACACGTGGTGTCAATGCTTGAGGTTCCGATTTGCCGCGGCTCAACCTCGTTCCAATCGAAGGAGGTCAATGGGGCGTAGTATTCGCTGGTTTTGCAGTTGTTGAGCGTGGAAACGGGCTCAATGGAAGCTTCTCAGACCTCCCAGAGACAGAGATAATCGCCGGAGAATACTAGGAGATCGGTGGATTTCATTTAAGAAGAAGACCAAAGTCATGAAATGACTAAATTGTCCATGAAAAATTGGAGCTCTCGCTGGACTATAGACAGACAAGTCGGAGGAGGGGGTTAATCAACAAAAAACAGTTGTTTTCGGGGACCAAATCGATACGCGATTAAAGGACTATATTGATATTTCGCTAACAATTGAGGGACCAAATCGTTGATTAATCCTTTTTATTTTTTAATTCAATTTCCATATCTCAATGAATAGTGTGGTGATATTGATGGAAATGAATTGTATATTGATCTAAAATTGGTTAGAGAGATTTTATGGAAAGAAAAGATAGGGGCAATGAGTATATTGAATTCATTGAGGAATATGTGTTGTTTTCTAAATGCTACTATTGCATATTGAATATTATTGACTATCCCAATTACTGCAAGTATATATGTTGCAAGAGAGACTCAATGGAATAATAGTTTTAATCTCAATTGAAAATGAGCTTTTGGAAGAAGTTGATATCGAAAGTTTAATAGATGATTTTGCGTCTAAATGTACACGGTGCAGGTCACTTTTTA